TTGGACACCTTTCTGGTTTTGGAAGAGGACGAGGAGGATTCCTCTTCAAAGCTGCGCAAATGGAAGGACAGCAGCTGGGGTACATGGTGGACAGGCTCATGGCAGACTGGTCAATGGTACAAAGGTTCCGATGGTCAATGGGACTGGAAGTCGGAGGAACCGCAGTCTCGTGAGTGGTTTGCCGAGTCAAAAGCATCCTCGAAGGAACAAGAGGAGGCGGAGCAGAAACAGCTCTATGGAGAAAAGATCTGTCGAAATCTCCTGGAAGATGAAACCATTGATAATGACTACGTGGGCAAAATCACTGGGATGTTGCTGAGTCGGTCAATGGACGTGATTGTGGAGAGTATTGCAGATCATGCATTCCTGAATAATGAGGCTCGGAGCGCATACAACATCTTGCTAAGTGATGATTGGAAGCCTGAGGAGAAAGAACGTGTCGGTGTGGAAGAAACAACCACTTTTTCCCGGAAGCAGTACCACGACGCGCTCTACGAACTGGCACGCAAGAAAAGAAGATTTAGTGGACCAGTCGTGGGTGAAGCGGTGGCAATGTTGCTGAGCAAAGGGAAAGATGAGCTTTGGAACGAGCTGTGGTTGGACACCAAGCGATTTCTGCAAGAGCTTGATGGTGCAGTCGAGGAGATGAGTAAGAGGGAAAACAGGCCAATAGAAGCCTATATGGATCCCGAACAGTACAAAAAGGCTCACACGACTCCGAAGACTGTGTCACTTGGATACAGTAAGCTGTGCAGGTTCTTCAATCAAGGGAGGTGTCGAAATGGAGATGGGTGTTCCTATGAACATCGTCGCTACGGTGAAGGGTGGCCTGAAGGAGAGCCAACTGAGCCAAAGAACAGCCAAAAAACTGGTGACGAGGATGGGGACATCGGTGGCCCTCCAACTGATGAAGGTACAGTGGATGAGGCGCAGCAGGAGCGGGAGGATTCGGCCTTCCGAGCCCAGTACAACTATGGCAAAGGGACATCGAAAGGTGAGCCTACGCTGGGTGAAACGAAGAAACGGCTGTGTCTGTATTACAATCAAAGTGGTTGTAAATATGGGACTGCGTGCAGGTATCTTCACGACGATGACATGGCATTGGAAGGGACTTGGGAGCCTGGCAAATCCTGGGACAATGCTTCCAGGAAGGCACTAAGGGACGCGGGGTTCCACCATTGCTGTTTCGACTACTATCTCAAAGGGAGATGTCGTGTGCGATTTGGCTGCAAGTATTCTCACGAAGAGATGTCTGAGGACCGGCTGGCCCAGTTGAAGCATTTGGTGGATGTGGCAAACCATGTGTCCTTTCAAAGGGCAAAGGGATTGGAGATTCCTGACAGGAACGCTTTTCAACCACCAGTAAGTGGGGGAGCAGAATCTTCGTCCTCCTCAGCACCACAAGCGCTGCAGATGACCAATGTGTCACAAAAAGATGGTGAAAAGGGTATTCTGGATGAAGAAGAGGCTGATGAACAAAAGTTGAATGTTTTCAAGAAGCCTGATACAAAACCATGTTTTTATACACCCCCCCAATGTTTAGAGAGAGGAAAACACCCGCAATTGTTCGCACAATTGTTTTTGCAATAGTTTCAAAAAACACAACTATTGCACGCAATTGTTTTGCAATAGTTTGAAAAAACACAACTATTGCACGCAATTGTTTTGCAATAGTTTCAAAAAGACAAACTATTGCATGCAATTGTTTTGCAATACTTTTGAAAACCCCAAACTATTGCAGACATTTGTTTTTGCAAAGTTCTTTAAACACCAAAACTATTGCAAACAATTCTTGGAAAAATTGCACCTTAAAAAACTATGCACAACACTTGTTTGACTATGCGTTTGGGTTTTTTCAACGAGTACCAAATGGTTGCTTACAATGGTCTTGAACGTCAAGACTAGTGCAAACAACTAGGTTGTAAAACTTCATAGCTGTACAAAAAACAGTTGTCAGACACTTCATTGAAGCCGAAGCTATTAACATTGACATTGCGCTTGTGGTTGCTAATAATTAGCAATGCTAATTGTTCAAGACTTCTTTAAGGTATGCTTTGACTGCTTTGACTGCTTTGAATTTGTTCATTCTCACACATTCATCCTTCTTGTCACGTTGTCCTCCTGTGTTCCCACCCTGAGCCTTGTCAACCAAACAGAGCCCACCATCCCCTAAGGCTTGCTCTCCAACAGGTACTAGGCCCTAGGCCCTAGGCTACATGTGGGGACAGTCTAGTGGCAACAAAGCTTCAGCTTGGCTTCAAATGCAAAGCATCGTCCCTAATCCCTAAACACTGCAGCTGCGCACTGTTTATTTTTTCCTCCTTGCGCAGCTCTGCGCGACACGGCTGCCTGCAAAAGTGGACGAAAGCCCCCAGCCCGATCGAGAAGGCTCACCTCAAACCACAAGGGCCAGGGCTGACAACGCGGCTTCTGCGTCTTTGTCAGAGATGGGCTTTGCCTGGCCACGGATAGGAAGAGCACACAAGGCAGATTGAATGATAGCAAGGAGCACTGGAAGGGCCATTGCGTTTCCCGCAAGGTCTGCCATAAGTGCCTCGGAAAGCCAAACCCGGTCTGTGACCCTTCGCTTCCTTTTTTTGACAGGCTGTCCATCTGGCATTTGATTTTGCGTCTCTGGCAACGGGTCGTCAACAGAATTGAAACCGGCCTCTGTCATGGTTTTCAGGAACCGGAGGACTGGGAATCCCAACAGCATCAGGGACTCTCTACCTAAGAGAAGCCTTGCTGGCTTTGTGATTTCAACAAAAAGCAGCTGAGTGGGCAGCATAGTGGGAGCCTCATACTGCCTTCTATCAGCATTCCAGTTGTTGCCATGCACTCGGCCAACTGATTGGCTGAGATTTCTGAACGCCGCATGCGGCGCCTCTGTCCTTGACAAAACAAGCACATCCTTTTCACGTTCAGACAAGGTTAAGAACCACTCGTTGGTCTCCAAATCACGGCCAGGACGCTGCCCCCAACGCATGTTCAGCTTCTGGCTGTACTTAATGTGCTGCTCGACCCAAGCTTCGCCAGTAGGTTTGGACGCTGACTTAGATTTGGCCGCTGACTTAGATTTGGCCTTGGCTTTCGGGTTGTCTTTAGCCTTCTTAGCAGCCTCCTCACGCTCTAGAGCTTTGGTCTTTTTGGCTTGCGCTTCCAGCAAACCAGCTGCAACAGCGTCGTCTTGTGAGTCTAAGAGGACATGAGAGGCACAGGGCGGCGATCTCACACAGGATGAGACCATGCTTCTGAACATGGGGACTACTTCTGTCAAAGGCCGCCTTTGAAACGCAAACTTGCAATATCCCTTGCGGATGAAACATATGTAGACACGACGGCGCCTGGCAGGAAGACCAAACTGCAACGCATCAGTCATCATGGTCTGGGATTCATAACCCAGGGCAGTCATGCGCTGGAGAACAAAGTCCAAGTTGGACGGGGACTCGGCCTTAGGCCCTGCTGGCTCCTCTATCGCATCCACATTCTCAAAAATGACTATGCCTGGCTGCTTTGTGGACACAAAGGAATCAAACCCGGACCATGTCTGGGCCGATCCCCCTGGGGATGTCTTTTGAGACAGCACGATCTTGGATGGGTCCCGGTTTGGATTCGCCTTAGATATGTCCTTGCAACTCACACCACAAACAAACATGTCCACTTCAGGAACCTGGCACTTGGTGTTGTGCACAACACAAGGAGCATGCTCTGCGCCCAAATCTTGCACATCCTGAAAGATGCACCTGTGCTGCACAGTCCCTTCTGAAGACTCAGAGTTCGAATCTGAATCTGAGTCTGCCTTCCGAGTTGCTTCGGGGTCATTGTCTGAGTCTGAGTCTGAGTCTTTGTCTTTGTTAGGGCCATAGTCACATTGACTTGCACTTGGGCCACTTGGGGGCTTTGCTGGCTCTTCTGGCTCTGCTGCTGAGAAGACAGGGCCAGAGGCCAGCACCGCATGGATCCATCGTTGCTTATCTTTGTTGATCTCACACGAAAAGCGGTGCTTGAGTCTCAGTGGCACCGAGAGATCATCAAAAGCCTTGTTGATGGCTTCTGCTACGTAGTAGGCACCTTCACTGCCTGAACAAGCTGAAGCCCAAGACAATGTGGCCTTGGCCATGTTCTCAATGGATGGTGACCCCCAGTCTTGCGGGTAGAGTGACTGAAAGCCAGATAAATTTTGCTTGGCGCATATCATCAGCGCATCCCCTTCGCGCAAGCTGCTTCCCTGCAAGACCCGGCTTGAAGCCTGCACCATCAACTCAGGCTCTCCAGGATTGGAGTGCGCCCTCTCCAAGCAGCGGCCATGGCCATGGCTACTAGATGCGCTTGCATTTGCCATGACTCAGTCAGATCTAGGCTGACAGTGAAGTTCACATTGCACCTTAGCCTTAACTTAAACCCTTAAACAAAAACATGTTACGAGTTGTTGCAAGGCAGAGGCCCCCACACACACACAACTTCATAAAGCGACATCAATGTTGCATGTTGCATGGCGTCTTCCCTTGAGCCCTCTTCTGTCAGTTGTCACATGGCCACATGCTACAGCCACAGGTCTCCAAGCTTCAGCGCCACAGATAGGGCTTTAGGCTTTAGGCTTTGGGTCAAGCTTTAAGCGCTTTTAGGGCTTTAGGCGCTTACATGATTTCTGATCATCGAGTCCAAAGTCAGAAGCCATAAGAACAAAAAGACTGGCTGCGTTGTCTGCCTTTTTGACTTTGCGACTGGAGAAGACAGATAATCAAGCTACCAAGTCTGCTCTGCAGGCCTGCCCTGTTCAAGTTTCAATCTAACATGCGCACACAGCATAGAAACATAGACTATACTATACTAATTCTAATACTATACTATGCTATACTATATTTATATTATTCTATACGATATGCAGCACTATATATAAGTCTAAGTCCTAAAGGCAGCGGCCAGCATGAGCAATGGCGGTGTTGAGTGGACCATGGCTAAAAGCCGCCTGACACATGGCTGAAAGCCAGTGAAACGAGCTACCTGGCGTTCTTTGCCTTTGCCAGACTCTTTTCCTTCTTCTTCCCGGCATTCTCCTTTTGCTCTTTTTGCTTCTTCTCACTCTTGTCATCCTTGTCCTTGCCTGCCTTGCTTGTGCTTTTGCTCGAGGCATCACCTTTCTGCTGCTTTCCTGAAGATCTTGCTGCCTTTGAGCCCCCTGCTTCATCGGCAAGCTCTTCATGCTTGCGTTTCTTCGTGTCTTCTGCATGCCCCTGAGTCTCAAGCCACGACTTGGCTTCCGCATGCACAACTTCACCAAAGACCCGAACTTGGTAAAATTGCGCTTTCTTTGCCTCTGCAGGTGAAGGCGTGTAAGACTTCAAGTGTTCAAGGTGCTTGCCAAGCGCACCACACACATCTGCAAGCTTGGTCGCCATGTCCTGGCCTTCCTTTGTCTCAGAGCCAAGTTTCTGGCTGCGAAGCAGAACCAGAGCAGCGCAAACAGACACGTGCGTCTTTGCCACCGCTTCTGTTTCATTGCATGTCTGGAGAAAATTCTCCAAGGTGTCCCCTGCATCCTTGAAATTCATGACAGCTTTCTCAGAACTCACCGAATCAGGGTCGAAGACGATGCTGCTGAGAACGTCTAGGTTCTCCTTGACGCACTGCACTCTGTCGATCGTGTCGGCAAGCTGGGTTGAGTCCTTGGAAAGTTTCAACGTGTGGCCCACCACCACCTTCATGTACGCATCTTCTTCTTTGGGCTTTGGAGTCGAAAGCTGCTGCAAAGGAACTTGTAATTCCTCATGCAGCTTCCAAGCTTCCAGGCTGCTCTTCCTGGCTGTGGCGACCATTCGCCTTCTCATCATGTCCACCTTTGTTTGTAAATGCTCCAGCATTGCTGCTGTGTTCAACTGCGCACGCGCAAGGTCTGATTCCCAATCGGGCTTCTCCATGGCTGCTTTTAGCTCCACATGGAGCTGGCACATGGCTTTGCTCAGAGATGTCACCTCCTCCTTCTCCTTTGTGCTGCCTGGGATCATTGCCACCTCAAGTCAGGACCAGGATGGCTTAAGAGGAAACACAATCAAAAACACAAACCCAATCATGAATCATGGAAACTGCTTGTATCACAGTATAACTCGTGTATAATGATCCCAACAGCTCCTATCAAGCCAAGGCAAGGCTGCGCGTCAAGCGCGATCCGAGCTAAACAATAACCTTACTGCCCTTGATGGTTCGCGCCTGGCCAAAGGCCTGCACCAGACTGCGAAGCCGGTGCTTCTGTGGCAACTTGACCATCATCTCCTCAAACACGCCTTTGGACAGCCCATTGCCTAAAGCGTTTTGCGCAAACTGCTCAGCAATTGGAGCAACAGCGTCCAAGCCTGCTGACTGAAGCTTTGCAAGCTCTGCGTCGACTGGCTCTAAGAGCAATTTCTGTATGTCGCTGACAAGTTTCGGATCCTTCATCCCAAACAAGTGCGACGCGCGAAGGGCATCTGCCCACTTGCAAAGATCGTCTGCTGACGTTGATGTCTGCTCCTGACGCATTTGCCTGAAAGCTTCCTGCTTCAGAAAAGCCCATCTCACAAGCTTGCAAAGCTTGTCAGTGAGGTCTTTGAACTCTTGGACACAAGCCAGAACGCTTGGCATGGAGTCCCACAGCTTGTCCTCCACAAATGATGCTGCAGACAAACCAGCAATGAACTGGTCCAAGTTGATGATGCCCTGGTCGTCTGCATTCTCAGCATCGGGGACTTGGACCTTGCAGTTATTGCCCAGGCTCTTGAATCCCTCTTGCCTCAGACGAAGTAGCCACTAGCTCACGATTAATGTTCTTTAACACATCAGCAGCTAGTCGGACTCTAGGCCCACTTCACCTTGGTATTTTAGGCGGGCTCTAGGGCTTCTGAGAATCGAGCAATTGGGGCTTCGAACAAAAACTGACTAAAACAGTGCAAGTAGTCAATCTACCGAGAACTCTGAAGTCGCAACTTTGGAATTGGGCAGCTAGCTTATTATTCTTGCAACTTGCAACCAAGACGCAAATGCTCGAGCAGGGTGAAGGTCAACTCGACAGTGACTAGCTGGCTGGCTGCCTCGCTCAATCTCTTCTGCAACTCAGCAATTGTGCCAGCAGCACCGCCCTCCTTCTTTGCAGCTTTGGATTTCCCGAAACGACAAGCTTTCAACTCGTCCAGCTTGCTTAAAGCCGGGCCCACCAACTGCTTGACCTCTGCAATGCCCTTACTGCTGTTCTGCTCTGCAAACTCCTTTGCTTGGACTTCAGCACAACCAATCAGGTTTTCCAAATGAGCGCAAATCTCTTGGAACTCTGCCTCTGCCTCTCCATGCTCTAGCCGCTGCACAGCCATGCCCATAACTGATTTGCCAACGTCGTGCTGCAAGAAAAAACGGACGACTGCGTTCAGTTCCTCAGCACGTTCTTGACCTTCTTGGGGCTTCTTCCCAGAGTAGCTTTGGATGTTTTGCACGCTCTCTCTCAAGCTTGCGATGTCCTGCTGGTCCAGCATGGCATAAACAACCCTGGCGCTTGCAGCAACATCTTTAGCCAGAAAGTCCGGCCCCTGGGCTGATTCAACAAGGGCTGAAGCCAGGCTGCAAGCCTCATGCATGTTGGGCGCATCCTCTGGGGTAGCCTTGCCTGAAGACTTGAGCTCCAGCTCTGCTGGCGTGATTGCGCGCATTGCTGAAAGCAATCGGTTCTCTATCTCAACCACCACATGGGCTTGCACATCCTCTGCTTTCATGAGCTTATTGAGAGCGACGACGTCTGCTGAACTTGTTTTGAAGAAACCTGTGAAACGACTGAAGTCGTTGTGTAAGCACGACTCATTCGCGCGAGCCATGAGGCTCTTCAAGACAAAACCTGGCCCTAGGCCCAACTTCAAGCCGCTGCTTTCGTTCAATTTATCGAACTCTTCAAGCAACCGCAGGAACTCTTCAGGGTCAGGCTTTTGCGCAGGCATCAAAGTCAACAACTTGACAAGAACACCGGCAATGCCGACAAGCTCCTCAAGAGAGCGAAGCTGGTCGGCAAAACAGTTTTTGTTCGTGCTTCTCTCTACTTTTTTGATATCATCCTTAGCCGGCTTCATCCACCCAGTCAGCGAGCTGACGCGCTTCTGGCACATGGCCTTGTAGTCTTTGAGCGACAATTGTGCAGACACCGGCTGATCCTGAAGATCAAGCGCTTTCATGTTGACTTCGAAAGTGGAGATGGCTGTCTGCAAGCGAGTCAATGTCCGACTGGCCCTGCCATCCAGCTGCAATGTCCCTAAACCGTCCGAACCGCCTCCAAGGTCCAAGACGTCCAAGTTCAACCTCGGATCCAGCTTCAAGCCTTCAGCCGCTTCAGCCTTCACCTTGAGGCTCTCGCTTGCTGGAGCTGGGGCTGCTTTTCTTTTCTTGGTAGGTTGCCTCGGCTGGACTGAAATTGACAATGAACAAGAGTTGCATACTTTGGCCAGCATAAAACAAAAAAAACTCAGACTAAGAACGACTGCGCGATGAGCTTAAGTTGGCTTCAGTTCAACCTAGCGTCGCTTTCGGATTGATCTTGGTGTTGGACCCTGTGTGCGCAGACGCCTTTGGCTTTGCTGTTGCCTTGCTTTGCCCTGACTTCTTGGTCGCAGACCCCAGCAAAGCCATGGAAGCCATGCCTTCCTCTGGTTCGTCTGCAGCACTCTGACTTTCTGAGTCTGAGCCGCCGTCTCCGGAACTCTGGCTGGAGCCGCAAGACCGGGCCTTAGGCCTGTCCTTTGAGGAGGACGAGGCTGACATCCCAAGGTTGACAATTTCCATGAGGCTTTCCATACTCATGTCAGGGCCCTTGATGGCCACTTTGTCTCTTGCTTGGCTTTGGGACTGCATGGCTTGCTGCACGGCTTCTTTTTTTAGTGCGAAAGCTACGTCGGCCAAAGGCCCCACATCGTTCGCATCGTGCTCTATGATTCGCTCTGAAACATCGGTCTGCTCAAACTCCTCGAAATCGAAAACTCCTTCTTCGCCCACACTTCGCCAACATCCCTTTTGTTTCACGCCCCTGATCTCTATTTCAGTTTCCTTCGAGGCATCCCATTTGCCATGTTTGCTTTCGTTCCAATGGGTGCTGAGGATGAACTGCTTCTTAGGCGCTGTCAGCTTGCCTCCGGTCTTCTTCTCTACTGCAAGCTCTTTGTGGCAAGCAAGAACGTCCTCCTTAGATTTCAGCCGGGTTCGACCAGGATCTTCATTGTGTTGTCTGATCCAGTCCTCACAGTCACTGCAATGTGTCAGCCAGGCAACCAGAAACATATTACACAAGGCAACAAATCTCAGATTGGTGAGTGGTCCTTGAGAGCTGAAAGAAATTTCTTGTGCTCGTGCTGGTTCTGCTTCTCCTGGATGAAGTCATAGTACTTCGAGTAGCTCTTGAATCTCGCATGAAGGCCTGCACGAGACTCATCAACAGTCATCTGCACCGCTACTCTCACCTCGACATGCGCTCTTCAAAGCCTGCACCACAGGCATCACAGCATGCTCACTTTTTCGACGTCCATAAGCGTCTAAAGGCTAAAGGCAAAAGGCTAAAGGCTCTAGCTGGTAAGAAGAGCTTGCCTCTGGCATGCCGGGGACGCTGTAAGACACTAAGACCTCGCAAGGTCCAGACAACCACGCCGGAGGCCCCATCCCTCCCCCCCTAACAAAGAAAGATTCCCCCTCCAGCCTTAAGTCTTTACGTGACTTGCCAGCTGCTAAACAAACAAACGCTAACAATAGAACAATAACACTTGGCCAGTGGCCTTGGGCCAAGTCTTGCGCTGGCGTCAGTCTTGCAAGCCCGGCCATCATTCCTGCCGGCAAACTGGGCCCAAGGCCAAGGACCGATTGATTTCATCAATTAAGGTCCATGCCCAAAACAAGAGTCTCAGCTGACTCTGCTGAACCTTCGCTCTTTGCCTCCTCTGGGATTGCCTGGAGACGATTGCAGCGATTGCCAACTTGAGAAGTCCTTGGCGCCTGAGCCGGAACACGCTCAACGCACAAAGTCTGCTTCAACTCCACATGCGCAGTTCGGCAAGTCTGACTGAACTTGAGAATGCTGGGCTCGTCGCCATCCAATGTGGGCATGCTCAGCAACATCATAAACATCTTGATACGCGCAGGAATGCGTGTGGCAAAGGCGCGACGCTTCTTTGCAGGAGGATCCTCACTTGATGTTGGCCTGCCCTTCTGATCAGGCGACATGGCCAGAAGCCCAATCAAGCCAGCTTCCATGGCAGACATGGCCACAGGCCAAAAGGGCAAGCGGCAAAAGAATTAAGCTTTTGAGCCCATCAAAGCTGCGCGTCTCTCACTTGGCCGCAAAGCCGCTGAGCAGAGGTTTGGGAAGAGAGTCCGGGCAGAGGGGTTGGGTGGGGGTGGGGGCTGACGCAGATGGAGACGGGAAAAAAAGATGTGTGGGGGGAAGTCCGGGTTAAGGCAGGGGAGGCGCCCGCACGTCCGCGCGCCCGCGCCCCCGCACCCCAGTGCCCCGCCGCCGCGCCCTCTGCGCCCCAGCGCCTCTGCGCCCCAGCGGCCAGCGCCTCTGCGCCCCAGCGCCCTTGCGCCCCGGCGCCCCCGCACCCCTGCGCGCCCCAGCCCCCGCCGCCCCCTTTGCCCCCTCAGCGCCGGCAAGTCGCCGTCGCTGCCGCCGCTGCCGCTGTCGTGGTCGTCGTCGTTGTGGTCGTCGCTGTCGCCGTCGCCGTCGCCATTCGCCGTCGCCGTTTCTCCACCCCAATCGCCAACAATAACACTGTTGCCCTCGTGTTGCTGTCGTAGTTGCTATCGCCACCGCCCAAGAGGCGACAAAGCTGTTGCCGCGCCGCCGCCGTCGCCGCTGCCGCAGGCGCTGGCGCCGTCGCGGTCGCCGTCGCCGTCGCCGTCGCCGTGCCCGCCGCCGGCCGCCGCCGTCGCCGTCGCCGTCGCCCCCCCCCCCCCCCGCCTCCACCTCCCAACCTTACAGCCTAAACCAAACCACCCCCTACCCCTCCGCCCCCCCCCCCGCGCACACCTGTCCCCCCCCGCCCCTCCCCCCCCCCCCCCTCCCCCCCCCCCCCCCCTCCCCCCCCCCCACCGCTCCCCGTCCCCTGCCCCCCCCCCTCAAAATCCCCTCCCCCACCCCCCCCCCCCCCCTCCCCCCCCCCCCCCCGCCCTCACCCCCCCCCCGCCCTCCCCCCCTCCCCGCCCCACCCCCCCTCCCCCCCCCACCCCACCCCCCCTCCCCCCCTCGAAATACGTTGAAGCAGATCAAACAGCATCGACTTTCGGGCACTCGGACAGAATCCTCACCTGGCAGCACCACTCTGCGGTACTTGGCCCAAGGCCGCTTGCCTGACTCCTGCTCTGTTGCCGCCTCATCCAAATCACCCAGCAAAGGTGTGGGATCTATGGACTGCTGGCCACAGAGGCAACACCGGCACGGTCTGGAATGCACAAAGCTTATTGCCAGGTGCAGGATGCCTCGAAAACCTGCGCTGCTTTCGGGCTTGCCTGGCTTCTCCCTTTCCTCACTGTCTGAACTGCCCATGCCTAGTCACTGACTCTGGAAGCCAAAAACCAGGCTGCAGGCAACACCTGGAATCAAAAAAACTAGATTGCCAAAAAATGAACAACTATTGACACTATTTAAGAAGTATTGAGAAACAATTGCAAAACAATTGCAAAACAATTGCGCAAACAATTGCGCAAACAATTGCGCAAACAATCGAGCGTCGAGATCTCTACGCATCGATGGGTATGTTTCAAAAGAAGTAGTATTGGGCCCAAAAAACGATGCGTCGAGAAACCCCTAAGATGCGTCGAGGACGGTTGGTGCAATTGTTTGTGCAATTGTTTGTGCAATTGTTTTGCAATTGTTTTGCAATTGTTTATGTAATTGTTCAATTGTTTATGCAATTGTTGAACACTTGAATAAAGCTTGTTTTAAAAAGCAACACAATTGATACACAACCCACTGCTGCTGCACAATCTGCCAAGCCGCTATGAATCACACAAGCATTAAGCAGCAAGACTCAATCTGGCACCTAACCTCTGCAAGACTCAGAGCCTGGCCCAAGGCCCACAGCACAGCACGTCCGGGCTTTTTTCTTCACTGTCGGCCTGCATGTAGCTGTCTCAGCCTCCAGACACCCAGGCCCTAGCGCCGCTGCTGCAGCAGAGGAGCAGGAAGAGGAGGCGGAGGAGGACAAAGTCCAACACAGGCTGACTGCAAGAGCAGAAGAGCCAATCACTATGACAATGGTGGCTCGAGCGTGTGCGTCTCAAATCTCGACACGCACACGCTCGAGCCACCAGTGTCATAGTCATTCGCTCCTGTGCTCGGGCCCATGGCCCAAGTGCTCCAGCCCATGAATGCTGCATCCTCACCAGGCCAAAGGCCAAACCCAGCACAGCCCTGGAGCCATGAACACAGAACAAGACTGCAACATCAAGGGAGCCAATGACTATGATGGTGGCTCGAGCGTGTGCGTGTCGAGATTCGACACGCACACGCTCCAGCCACCATTGTCATAGTCATAATGACTGCGCGGCAAACTGGGCCCCGTGCTGGAGCCCATGACTGCTCAGGCTGAAGGCCAAAACCCAAAGCTGCTGACTGAGCCTAAGGCTGGTGCCCTGCTTTCGCATCCAGTGAGGCCAAGTCCAAGCCATGAGCAAAGTGATGCAACCTGCTGCCTCCCAGGGACACATGATGCGAACGAGCTCTAGAGGCATCCCAAGAGGAATCCTCTAACCCGGCTACAAGCCAGCGTTTCAAGCGCAGCATGCAGTCCTCTTCTGACAAACCACCTTGATTGATGGCCTTCTTGCAGCTCGTTCCTACGCAGTCTCCTGTGTTCTGATGCATGTTGCACGACGCCTCCCAGCCTATTTGGTGGCCCTGCGAAAAGAGCGGCGATATACGGAAAACTCCCCAAGCAAAAGCCCTCCTTGAACGCTGCGCTGGAGCTGCAGGGGCCACATCACGAGAGCTGGAAGCTCGTTCACTGTGGCCCGGAAGCAACGTGTCAGTTTCCGATTCAGCTTCAGAAAGCAAAAACCCTTCCCCTGCTGGCTCTGCTGCCTCTGCGGCCTCTGCCTGCACCTCCTCCAGCTCACCAGCCTCTGACTCAGAGCCAGACGACTCAGGAATCAGGCCCTGCATTTTTTTTCCAGTTCAATCTTCTGGGCTTCCTTCTCTGCTTTTGTGGCGACCTTTCCCTGCCTTCGAAGCCGGGCTTTCTGGGCTTTCTGCAGGATCTTGGCCTTCGGATCAGGATGGGCAGCTTCGAAAGCTGCCAAGGCATCTCGCACATCCTGACTGACAGAGGGCTCAGGCTCAGGCACGCCAATCCCGTACTCGCTCTCAGCTATTGCGTGTCGTGCTCGTATATCAAAACGATTTAGCTCTGTGACAGGACCAGGCTCCAAGAGCTCGAGCTTCCAGTCTTCGGCATCGTTTGCCAAGTTGGCAATCACAGAGCTCTCAGTGTGAATCTCAATATCCTCCCCTGGAGGAATAATGTGGAAACTAACCTGAATGCCTTCGCCCGCTGGCTCCAAGAGCTTGCCCAGCAAAAACACTGCAGCTTGCAAAGGCGCGCGGCGTGTGTGGAACGCCACTGCCAAGGATACGTCCTCCTCTCTGGATGCTGAAGTAAAAGACAGCAGGAGCGGCTCTTTGTCAGAGCTAGCTGCGTTGGGCCCCTTTGTCAGCACAACCTTCCAGAACAGCTCTGTCAGACGCTCCATGCATGGCCGGCGCCTTGCACGCAAGCAGTGCTGGCACGCGCCCACAGGGCAGGGCGCAAACAATGGCCACGGCTCGGCCGGAACACTGTCCAGACTGTCAGCGTTCTCGGGCTGCAAGACATTGTGCTTCTGGCGGAAGCGGTTGCTCTCAGAAATGGCTGTGTTGCAACGCTGAGCAATCAAGTGCCTGGCCAAAGGCCACCCTGTGCTAGAGCCAAGCTGCCAAGGACCTCCAGCGATCTCAGGCTCCTCCTCTGCCTGTTGCTCTTGTTCAGCCCGCGCCTGGCTGTTGGCCGTTTTCGCAAGAGATGCCCACCTGTTTTTCTCTTCTTGGCTGCAGGCAGACCATGCCTCCCTTGCGGCCTCTGCCCTGTCCACATGATTCAGCTGGCGCAAAGCTGGTTGCCTTCCAAGCAGGTCCTGTTCGAACAGATTCCAACCATTTTGTCTTGCAGACACGGGTCGAACCCAGCTAGGCCTCTGATTATGGATCCGTCTCTTCTTCTGTTTCAAAACGTTCGTCCGCCAGATCTTGACCTCGT